AAAAAAAAAAAAAAAAGAAGTAACCAAGACACCCTTCAGTAGGCGAGTGGGTAAGTAAACAGTTGTCCATCCAGACAATGGGATGTTACTGTTCAAGTGGCTCACACCTATAATCATCACAGTGCTTTCAGAGACCAAGGAGGGAGGGTCATTTGGGGAGTTTGAGACCAGTGATGAGATCCCATCTCCACAAACAAATTTAAAAAATAGCTGGGCATGATGGCGCACGCCTGTAGTCCTAACTTCTCAGGAGGCTGAGGCAGGAGGATCATTTGAGGCCAAGAGTTTAAGACCAGCCTGTCTTCGAACTTGCTGCAACATAGCAAGATCCCATCTCTGCAAAATACATTTTTAATAATTAGCCAGGCACGGTGGCTTGCACCTGTAGTCCCAGCTACTAGGGAGGCTGAGGCAAGAGAAGTGCTTGAGCCCAGGAGTTCAAGGTTATGATGAGCTATGAGCTCACCATTGCATTCCAGCCAGGGCACAGAATGAAACTCTGTCCCAAAAAAAGAAGAAGAAAAAAAAAACCTACCAAGCCATGCAAAGACATGGAGGATCCCTAATGCATACTGTTAAGTACAGCCAGAAAGGCCACATACATAGGATTCCACTACAGGACATTCTGGAAAAGACTACAGGGGAGGGAGGGGGGTGGCAGGGTGCAGGGGGGGAGGGGGGTAGTGGGGCACAGGGGAGGGAGGAGGGTGGTGGGGCGCAGGGGACTTGCAGGGCAGGAACACTGCTCTGTGTGGCACTATAATGACAGACCCATCAGGACACATGCGTCCAAACCCACAGAACACACAACACCACGAGTGAGCGTTAATGTGAACCGCAGACTTCAAGTTAATGATAATGTGTCGGCAGAGGGGCAGTGGTGATGAAAAGTGCCCTATGCCAATGCAGCCTGTTAAAAACAGGGCACTGCAAGTGGGGGCTGGGGTAGGAGAACTCCGTACTATGTGTGATTTTTCTGTAATCCTGAAACTGCTCTAAGAAAGTTTATTAATTTAAAAGCCACAAAAATAATCTTTTCAGGTGAGTAGCGCTGACTTACCATGTGCCACAGTCCCCCATCAGTGAACTTCTTTTACCCACAACTACCCAGACACATAAGGTGCTCAGTAATTTGTTTTTTTCTTTTTTGGCTGTCCCAGTTATCTGGTGATACTGAGATGCACGGTGATCTAAACCTGGGAGTTGAGTTCCAAATATAATGCCCTCCCACTAAGAGATCTGTCTACCGTCTACAGAACTGAATGTAACATTTTTAGACCAGTATGTCTCTCTCCCTCTTGGATCACAAATACTCGGGGTGTGGGGGCGGGCGGAGGATCAGACAGCACAGCCCTTCACTGTCTGTCAGGTCAGCGTGGGGCTGCACATTCTTCACCGATCCCCACATAACAGGGAGTGGTGTGAGAGCAAAACACACTTGGGTCTGGATTTTAAGTTCTTAACACTTAATCTTTGAGACCTTGGGGACCAATATTGCATTCGACAGCTGTGCTTCCACCTCTGGAAACTGGAGGCCTTAACAAGCCCACTTAGAATGGACGGTTTCAGGGCACAGTGTCAGCACGGTAGCTGGTATACAGTAGGTGCTCACTGAGCAGTGGTTTTTAGTCCTGGTTATTACAGGGTATTTACAATGCAAGACATCTGAGCCCTCCTGGACCGCCCTGTCCAATCTGCCTCCTCCATCACACACCAGTCCAACCCAGGTGAGTTTCCTCTCAAACAGTCTACCCCACTGCTGCTCCCCAACATCGAGAGGGCACCAATTTCACGGAGCTGATGTTCCCGCACCCCTAGCCCCACCACACATACCATACAGTTTGAAAAGATGCTTGACATCTGGCCCAGTGAGCAGGTGCTTTAAAATGTCATCCAAGTCATCCACAGCCTTCCCGTCTTTTCTCGGCCAGGACTTACTGATCACCGCAGACACAAGGGTGCCAAATTTCCGCAAATCACGAGGAGAGATGCGCTCAAGGATACTGGTCTGAGACTATAAAGAAATTAATAAAAGAGGGAAATTTAGCAGTTTTTCATTGGTTTTTAAATAACAAAAATAAATCACCCACCCAAAGCGTTTCAGAAATCTATTGTACCTTGTTTTATGAGGCCTCAAAAAATAAATAAATAAAAAGCAAAACAGTAAGATTAATGTTTCTTAGAGATTCTCATTTTTCCTTGTGCCGTCTCCCAGACAGACCAGCACCAATGAGCACAGTCACATTCTTCCCTCTGTCAACATTTCTGGCCAGTTTCTACATTTTCTGGGACTGTCATGTTATTAAAAAACACCAAAAATGAATAAACCTTTAATACATCTTATATATACACATGTTGGCTTTTATTTATTTTTTTTGAGATAGAGTCTTACTATGTTGCCCTCAGTAAAGTGCCACAACATCACAGCTCACAGAGCGATTCTCTTGCCTCAGACTCCCGAGTAACTGGGACTACACGCACCCACCACAACACCCGGCTACCTTTTGTTGCAATTGTCGTTGTTTAGCAGGCCCGGGCTGGTTTTGAACCTGCCAGCCTTAGTGTACATGGCTGGCGCCATAACCACTGTGCCACAGGCACCAAGCCATATATGTTGGTTTTTGTTGAGACTGAGTCTTTCTCTGTCCCCTTGGTAGAGTGCCGTGGTGTCCCAGCTCACAGCAACCTCAAACTCTTGGGCTCAAATGATTCTCCTGCCTGAGTCTCCCAAGTAGCTGAGATTATAGGATCCCACCACAGCTGCTATTTTTTCTATTTTTATTCTTTTACAACTATGGATAAATTTATAGTCATGAAAGAATATATAAACAAAAACACACATTTAATTCATGAATGGAGGGGGCTGGGCTTTTGCAGAAGCTCAGTGAAATAGCTCCCCAAAAGAACAAAGAAGATCAGAGTTGGGGTTCTGACTTTGGCCCCACTTTTTTTTTTTCTGCAGTTTTTGGCCAGGGCTGGGTTTGAACCCGCCACCTCTGGCATATGGGACCAGTGCCTTACTCTTTTGAGCCACAGGTGCCACCCTGGCCCCACTTTTGATGATTGATTTTTAGTAGAGATGGGGTCTCCCTCTTGCCGAGACTGGTCTCGAACTCCTAAGCTCAGGTAATCCACCTACCTCGGCCTCCCAGAGTGTTGGGATTACAGGCATGAGCCACTCTGCTGGCTAATATATCATATATTTTATGTTCTTAAACTTTAATTCTTTTAAAGAACTGCCCCCAAACAACACATACATTATAACTCTCTTTCTGATTCTCCACCAAGAAAGAAAATTTTTTTCTTCTTTAGGTCTAAAGTTTTGCAAAAAATTTCAGTGATTAACCAGAAACACAGGGCTAAATTACAATAGTTACTTCCTGACATTTAACAGGATAAAATAAAACCTCACCCAGAAATACATAAAAAAGGATACACCATAACCAATAAGAATTTATTCCAGAGAAGTGAATATCAATAGAATAAAATCACATGATCACTTCAATAGACACAGAAAACGTATCTGACAAAATTCCACTCCCCTTAGGATAAAACACACTCAGAGAAAAGAATTTCCTCAACCTGACAAGAAGCATCCACGAAAAACCCACAGCTAACGCCACATACGGTGGCGAAGGGGCAAAAGCTTCCCGCAAGGTCACGAACAAGACAAGCCCACTTCTGCCACCTCTTTTCAACACTGTACTGGAGGTCTAGCCAGGACAGTTAGGCCCAAGAAAGAAAAGGCATTCAGGTGGGAATGGAAGGAGCAAAACTATCTCTATTAGTAGATGAAGCCTCAAAAAAAAAAAAAAAAAAAGGCAAAGCACAGAACAGCACTTCCACTCCTCAGTGTACACCCAACAGAGATGAAACGTGTCCACGGATAAACTTGTCTACGGACGTTCCAGCGGCACAGTTACGCTCGCCAAGAGGAGAAATGACCCAGCTGTCCCTCAGTGGACAAGCAGATAAACACAGTGTGACACAGCCAGACAACGGGACAGCACTGAGCCTCAGAAAGGAAGGACAGGTTGAGCATCCCTAATCTGAAAACCCAAAACCCAGAATACTCCAAAATCCCAAACTTTGGAGCACTGACATGACACCAAGACACAAAAGCATTTAACACGAACTCTGTTTCATGCGTGAAATTTGCCCCTCCCCAAAATATCTCATTATGTATATGCAAACATTTCAAAATTCAAAAGCATCCATAGTTCTAGAGTCTTCTGGTCCCGAGTATTTTAGCCAAGGAACATCAGACCTGCCCTGCCACCTGCCACGGTGTGGGTGGATCCGTGAGACTCACGCTCGGTGAAATGAGCCCTGTACAAAGGCACAGCTGTGTGACTCCATTCTGTGACAGTCCAGAACAGAGAAAGCCAAAGAGACAGACAGCAGCTTAGTGGCTGCCTAGGGCTGGCACGGGAGGGTCCAGGGTGACAGCTAAAGGTGAAGTTCAGGGCTTCCTTCTGCGGTGGTGAAATGTTCTACAATTGGCCGTGGGGATAGCTGTGCGTATCTGTGAATATGTACCAGAACTGGGTGAATCACAACTTCCAATAGGTGAACTTTCTAGTCTGTGAACAGTATCTCAGTAAGTGCTTAACAAAAAAGGAAAATTATTAGTCCCTCAAAAAAATTAGAACTCTTTGATCCCTGGAAGATAATGACCTTCCTTGACCTCTCCATGACCTCTCCCACTGCACTGAGGCCGGTGCCTGGGCAGGGCTGCATGTGTCTAGTCAGGAGACCCACAGGGAATACTGAGTGGGAGACAGCTTCACCAGGCAGTGGAAAGAATCTCTTCCCACACTTCAGAGAAAAACTAAATAAATTGATAGAATCTTTTCAGCGTCACCCATTCTCTTCCCGTGAATGTTTTGTCAGCCTCTGGAGCCTTTTGTTAAGCAGGTGTTAACAGACAGTAAACCAAGTCAGCAGCTATGTCCACCCACGATGGGCCTTGGAGGAGGCCGCAGACGTGGCTGTGACCACACCAGGCAGGGAGCTCCCTTCTCAGCAGCAGGAATGTGTCTGGCATTTGGGGGAGCCAGGAGAGAGCCCTGGTTTTAACACAATTACCCCACTCGGGGGAGGGGATGCCCACTTTCATTCTCAGAGTCTGACCAATGGCAGAGCACAGCTGTGGACACCAACAGGGTTCCCAAGTAGGAGAGGGTGGTCACCTGGCATGCTGAGCTCACGGCTTCAATGACACACTTCTCAAAGCACTTGGCCACGCTGTCCTCCAGGCCTGCGGCATCCCAGCACGAGTTGCAGTAGGCAGAGATCTGGGAGAGGGGCCGCTCCTGCAGCAGAGGAAGAGGAAGAAGTTTTGGGTGCCGTGTTCTCAGACTCTGGGCAAGTGAGTGCCCTGGTGGTTTTTATTTTCCTGCCATTTTGCCAGTTTCCCACGATTTTAACCTCCACGCCCACACTAAGCATGTCCTCGCCACCCACACCACTGGACCAGCAAGGCTGAAATTCAGAGCCTCTGTTCCTCTGTTTCTGTTCTCTGCAGAAAAAGGACCTGACACAGCAGCCCACAGAAACAGGTCCACTTGGAGAAAGAAGCCATTTTCCAGACTTTTGTTTTCCTAAAAAGATCCACTCAACAGTTATATGTAAAAGTTTCATGAAAAACTAATTTTTCTAGGGTGACAGGCCTTAATTCAGGCCTCTACCCACTTGTCTATCTGTGGGAGGCTCCCGTCAGCCACAATCCTCAGAGCCACTGTATGTGGCTGAGCCTGATCCCGCATGTGCCTGGGGGTCCCACGGTGGGAAGTCCTGTGCCCTTGTTCTTCTCTAGAATATCACAGTAGAACTTGGAAATGTCCTCCGGGATCACAAACAGAAATGCAGGCTTGTCCTGAAGCCCACACAGGAGGGGGCTCAGATGCCCTGCTCTGATCTGCTGGTTGTTCCCAAGGGGTGGTGGAATCCACCTTTCCTTCACTCCTTAAAAACAGTGTCCCCAACTTTTCCTACCTGTTTGAGCCGCCCTTCCAAGTCTCCCAGCAACGACTCCTTCCAGCCATGCTCCACAGGGAAGTTTATCTCCACCAGCCGCCTCCAGACCTACAAAACCCACACACAAGTCACAGCCACTGTGACAACTGAATGCCACAGTGTGAGCCTGTGATGAGAAAAAGACCACCATGACAACACTGAGGGGGGACCAGGGACACCTGGGTCCCATCTTTGCCACCAGTGAACTGTACCAACGGTGAGTCCTGGCAGCTCAGCTCGGCCTGCCACATCTGCCCTTCCCCCTGCAGAACTACTTTTTACTCCGAAAAACATTTCTTTCTGTGGTTTTATTTTGAAAAGCATTTACTCTGAAAAGCATTTCTTTTTTTTTTTTTTTGGAGACAGAGCCTCAAGCTGTCCCCCTGGGCAGAGTGCTGTGGCATTACAGCTCACAGCAACCTCCAACTCCTGGGCTCAAGCGAGTCTCCTGCCTCAGCCTCCCAAGTAGCTGGGACCACAGGCGCCCGCCACAACACCCGGCTATTTTTTGGCTGCAGCCGTCATTGTTGTTTGGCGGGTCAGGGCTGGGGATTCGAACCCGCCACCTTAGGTGTACGTGGCTGGCGCCTTAGCCGGTTGAGCTATAGGCGCCAAGCCTGAAAAGCATTTCTTTCTGAGGTTTTTCCAGAAGAATGCCCTGGCCTTTCTTCTTTTATAATGTTGACAATTTTAAAAAGTTCAGACCAGCTGTTTCACTGTCTCTCGACCTGACGCGTTTCATAACTTTCTCAAGATTTGATTCAGGCTAAAATATTTTTGGCAGGAACAGTTATGAGTTTGAACCATATGAAAAGTTACTTTTCATAGCACAAGGCCAGCCGACTATCTGCACCTCTACGCTGCTGCTCCTACTACCTGGGGATGCCGGTGCCCCCAGGGAGCCTCGCAGGCTGTGAGACTGGGTCATGCTGTCAGGGAGAAAGAACCCAGGCTTCCAACAATGGGGTGCCCGCACCTCCCCAAACTCAGGCTCCTCCTTTACAACACTGAGATAACAACAGCATCGATCTCAGTAGGTGTTTAATTACATTTTAATTATTTTCATTTTAAGCATTGTAACTGCAGGAGTTCAAGGCTGCAGTGAGCTATGATCATACCACTGTACTCCAGCCCAGGACAGAGCAGGACCTCAGCTCAGAGAAAGTCCCAGTTAAATTTGCAACTTTCTATCTTGAGAGGAAATCAGCACTGATCAGAGGCCTGGGTCTCACCGGGAGTGAACTGAGAGCCACAGGTGCTGGTCACGGCCCCAGCAGGGGGCTATGAGAGGCCAATGGTGTGAAGCCGCTCATCATACGCAGTGATCTACAAGAGCTGTGGTCACATGCAGTGACGTGCAGGAGCCACTGGTCACACACAGTGACCTACAGGGGCCACTCATCACACACACACAGTGACCTACAGGGACCGCTCAACACACACGGTGACCTACGGGGGCCGCTCATCACACACGGTGACCTACGGGGACCGCTCAACACACACGGTGACCTACGGGGGCCGCTCATCACACACGGTGACCTACAGGGACCACTCATCACACACACGGTGACCTACGGGGGCCACTCATCACACACGGTGACCTACGGGGACCGCTCATCACACACACGGTGACCTACAGGGACCACTCATCACACACGGTGACCTACAGGGACCACTCATCACACACACACCGTGACCTACAGGGACCGCTCATCACACACACCGTGACCTACAGGGACCACTCATCACACACACACACAGTGACCTACAGGGATCACTCATCACACACGGTGACATGCTACAGCCAGGAGCACAGCACAGCCCTGGTTTCTCCTCTCCTTGTATTCAGACATGGCTTTGCCCAGTGTCCCCTCACACGGCTCTTCCTTTCATCTTCCTCTTTCATTTCTGGCGTCATAAGTCTAACCCATGCCCTCCCTACAGAGATGCGCCCTCCCTACACACAACTGCCTTGGTATCTCTCCTGGTACAGGCCATCGTCCTGCCTCCCCAGGGCACCAGGCAGCAGTGTGGCAGCTTCTGCATCTGATACCTCCCGTCTGCCCACGGAGCACCTGGCAGGTGCACAGGAGTGTCCCTATTCTACACACCAGGGACCAAGGCAAAGGCTGCCAGCAGGCCCCTGGCTGCCAGTGTATAGCCAGACTCTCAGGACAAGGTCATGACCACTCACAGTCACATCACATTCCTACTCAAAGCCTTCAGCAAAACTTACCTCAATTTCCTCAGAATAAGTGAATGAGACAGATGAATGATATATACTCTGGAAAATGTTCTTTTTAAAAATTTCTTGAAGCCAATTTCTAGTGGCAACAAGAGTCCCCTGGAAGACGTTTTTGATTGAATTCTTCCCACTCTCTTTTCCCAGTCCCGTGTCCTGTCAAACACAAGAGAGGGAGCTGAGTGGCCTCTGCGTTGCCACTCGGAGGTTTCCCAGAGCCACGCACCTGTGCGTCTCCTCCACATTCACAGCGGGCACTCAGGGTGTCGCCACAGGGGAGGGCCACGCAGGGCTCGTCAGAGCCACCTTTCAAAAGCACTTTCATCTCCCCAGGACTTTGAGGGTTCACCCCTGAACGTGAGTGATACAGGAGAAAAACAGAGAAAAGTGAGAAATTAGAGAAAAATGAGAGCCCAGGCAGACTCTGCCCAGAACAGGCTTCAACCTGCAGAGGCAGAGCGAGGAGGATCACACGCTGGGCACGGGCTCCTCAGAGAGACAGACGGAGGTCAAGAGGCAGACTCATGTCCCCTCCTGCTGCTGCCTGGCTTTGCATCCCCCCACCCCCCGCCCAGGGGGCAGCCCTCTTCCCCGGACCCCAGCTCTAATGATGCCTCCTTCCCCACTCCTTCCCCTTCCCCTTTCCACACCAAAAGCACATTTACCGTAAACAAATACAACTCTAGCACCAGGCCCCCAGTCCTGGGAGGAGCCTGCACAGCTATTAGTGTGCTGCTTGTAGAAATAGAGCCCAGTAACCGGACCTGCCGGTGGACTCTGGACACTCAGTGGGAACCATGTGAGCCCCTCTGGTGGAGGCCAAGGAGATACGGCTCCAGTTGGAAGGAGCCAACGGAGAGTGGGAGACACAAACGGTCTCCAGGTAGACGCCCAGGGGCATGTGAGCGCTGACCGCAGCAAAGGCTGGCAAGACAGGCTGGCAAGACAGGAAAATACAGGATTCTCAAGGGGCAGGCAGAGAGCGACCCTGTGGCAGAGGGAAGAGCGGGGCAAGGGTGATGCTTAAAGTGCTTCTGAGAGGTGGGCTTCTGACCAGGCCTCTGTCTGTGTGTCCCTCCCACATGGCCACTGCCCAGAGCATAGGGACAGCAGGCAAGACACACGGATGGATCTCAACCGAAAACAGAACAGTCCCCAAATGGCACCACACCTTCTAGAACAATCCAGAAGTCTCAGCATGGTGCCTGTCCCTTAGGCCTTGTCCTTGCAGAGAACTACGTCAAACCACGGCCCCAGCCCCACTCACCTCCCATCCCGTGTCCACTGCACCCAGCACAGGGCCGGGGCAGGAGTGCCACAGCGGTGGTGAGTGCGGGGAGCCCGGGGGCCGTGGGTTGGGCCCAGGCCCTCGAGCAGGGCTCCTGACGTTTCCACCAAGTGCGCTGGCAGCACCAGGGCCCTGACAGCAACCCCAGAAGGTGTGTGAACACGTGTCATATTATTTTTGCTTTGTTTAGTTTTAGGATTGCAAAGGTTTTTCTTTGTTTTTATAGTACAGTTCGAGCACAGTGACTGCAGTGTGCATCAGACTAATCTCAGATCCCGAACTGCACTGAAGGTGCTTCATCCATGCTGCGTGGTGGCTCAGGCCTGTGACCCCAGTTCTTGGGAGGCAAAGGCAGGTGGATCACCTGAGCTCAGGCGTTCAAGACCAACATGAGCAGGAATGAGACCCCATCTCTACAAAAAATAGGCGTTGTGGTGGGCGCTGTAGTCCTAGCTACCTGGGAGGCTGAGGCAAGAGAATCACTTGAGCCCAGGAGTTGGAGGTTGCTGTGAGCTGTGATGCCACAGCACTCTACCAAGGGGGACAAAGTAAGATCTGTCTAAAAAAAAAGAAAAAAGAGAAGATACTTATTTCTGCAGAAACTATACTCTAAATAACTAACAAATGTCCCAGATACAGTTTATTTGGTATCTGCCTGTGATAGTTTAAGTAGAACCTACTTCAGGAGAAACTGATTATCTTCCTTGTAATATTTATTATTATCATTCTATGTAATTGCACCTCTGATTAATACTTTCATGGCCTGTTCATTAAATAATAACTCCTTTATACTTCACTGCTTCTGATAGTAATTTCCTCAATTATCTTATAAAAAATAAAATGAAGTAGAAAAACTGAAAGGAATGGCCAAAACACAGATTTGTTTTGTGTCACTAAAGTCACAGTTTTGACTTGCAATGAGATGAAGAAACAAATGGCCAGTCTAAATCTGAACTCCTACATCGCTTTCACAGTGACGCTTGTGACCTGAGGGACAAACGCTGCTCAGACGAGAGGAGGGGGGGCTACTGACACACGGACAGATCTGAGGCAGGACACGGGTGTGGCACGGCAGACACAGAACGTGACCTCTGGTGATGGAGATCAGAGAGGGGTCCTGGGGGGGTGGGGGGTGCAGTGCAGCTGGACCCTCCTGCAGCCTGGGGACAGTGGCGCCTTGCATGGCCAGCTACTGTAGCCAAGTCACAGTGTAAAGAGGCCGCAGAGGGCAAGGCTGCTCAGTACACGCGTGTTGGGAGGAACGTGACCCCACACTTCACTGTGAACAGCGGGGGCCCCTGCACCAGGTTGCCCCTTTGCACAGCCATCTGAGGGCTGCACATTAACTTCCTTCCTCTCTCCCTCCCGTGAGCACCCGAGGAGGCAGGAGTGCAGACCCGAGGTTCCCTCAGCACTCAGAATCCAGCCTGCATCAAGCAGGTACCTGAGACGTGTTGGGCGGCTAAACCGGCCCATCGCTTTCCTTCCAGCCTTCCTAGAACTAAGTCTCTTTCTTCTGTAAATTGAGGCTGCTTGAAATTCCACACCTGTGCTGGGTACGATACGACGTGTAGGGATCCCACTCACCATCAGAGGTTGAAGAGTCATAACTCTGCAGACAACCTCAGCCGACAAGGCGGGCAGCACATAGAGCTTCGGGTCCTTTGTGAGGCTGCAGACGGCTGTGTGGAGTTTGAGGCACACGGCTGGGTAGGACTGTAGCAAGGCCTCCTGAGGGATCCTACCCCGAAAACAGTTAAAGAGAAGTCACTGGAGTGATTTAGGAGAAATGAGAAGACAGCAGCCCTCACTGGTAACCAGCCCTTCCCTTTAACAGCCACAGGTTTTATGTGACCTCATGTGGATTAGCCTCTGGAAAATCTCCGTCGGTCTTTAGCCCGCAACTAAGACGGAACACAAACCACATCTTTTTGTTTGCCTCTAACGTGGAGCAAGCTAAAATATTTCTAAGTTCATTCCCTTATTTGAAAATAAGCAAGGGATATGTATTACTAAACATTAAAACCTACATAAATTTTTAAAAATATTCAGAGAGAAAATAGGAGGGAGAAAGAAAAAGACACGCCAGAAGAACAGGCAGTATGTGTGGCGTTCCTCCCGACTCTGGGGACCTGGGGGCCAGGCGTCCTGCTTCCTGAATGACGGGGATGGAGCTGGGGGTAGCAGGTGGATCAGGGGTGGGTTGGGCGGCCTGAGAAAGCACTTGCTGGTGAGTCTGGGACACACAAGGTCAGGGGCCCTGGAGCCACAGGTGCTCGACATCTCTGGAGATGTGGCACTCCCACCTCCCTCCTGAACGCCCCGGAACCCAGGTGGGGGAATGCTGGCCGTGCCCTGAGGATCAGAGAACACCCCTCACACACCTGTCGTCTTTGTCTACTCTGCTTCCAGGTGTCAGAGGACATGCACATTCGCAGAGGCAAATGAGCTCTGATAATAAGTAAAGCTACCTGGGATTTTTATTTTAAGCTTCACCTATTCAGCAAAAAACCCCTAAAGACTAAATGTTAAACACAGCACACTAACATGGGCATGCAGCGCGATGACGCCCACTGGGAAGGGAGAGAGAAATTTATAGGAAAAAGCCCAGACGCAAATAAACCAAAATCTTAGCAGCTACTATCTATTATATCCCATTAAAAAAAAATCAGATGACTACGTTAATGAATCAAAAAGAGAAGTGAGCTGTATATCGACTTATTGCCTTCCTGTTCGACAGCCCATGTGGGCTGGGCGGGTCGGGGGTGCCCCGGACCCCTGAGGGAAGGCTATGCTCTGTTCCCGCACTCACCTGGCGTGGTAACAGTCCAGCAGGTGCAGCAGAACTTCTAAGATGCTCTCCACGTCCTAGGGTGGGGAAGGAAAGAGAAACAGGGAACAAGTGTCATTGCTGGTATCGTGCAACTGGGAAAAAAACCAACACAAATAAAATGTAAATTCTTTTTGTCTTCAAACAAATTTTAAAGTGCTCACATACTAATTTGTATCTTTCGCAAATAAAACTCAAAATTTAAAATTCTACCATTTCTCCAAAAAAATGTAGAAGGAAAGACAGTGAGTTCACCCCACGCACGATCACCTCTGACCCCGCCCTCAGGAAAAATAACACAAGGCCAAGTTCTTGCTCTACATTTACTGGAACCATCAACTAAAGGAAATCAGCGTTCACCGCTGACCAGGAAGGACCTCCCCCAATTCTCTCCTTTCTCGAAGCTTCACCCTGACCACTTTTCAGCAAAGAAGAATCACAGCAATTGATGTTTCATTTTCAATCTGCTTCTGCCAAGCCTGTTCAGGTGACACACCTTCAGATTTTGGTGCGAGATTTCCCGAAGCCCTTGTAGCCTGTAGTGAGTCCCCAGAAAACAGTCCAGGACGTGGGCTGGAACAAGACTCAGGTGTTCAGGGAAGGTCTCCATGTAGCCAGCCAGGTTTCTCAGGGGGAGCAGGCTGAACCAGGACCGGAAGAGATGCTCGTCC